CTAAGTTAGACACCAAGTCAGTGACCACAGGCCACTTGAGTGGAAGAATCAAACGTCATCTGACGTTCGAACGCCTTCAAAGCAAAGGCAGACTTGACGTTCGAACACCAGATAACATGCGAATGTCCCCCTACAGACTGCCTGCAGAATAGTTGACTCCCACGGGCAGCAAATACTATTCACTCATCCTCACCAATCTCCTACCCCCTCTCCTTCCTTGCCTATAAATACTCCCTTGTTGGGAGCTTAAAAGGCATTCTTCCTCTTGTAGAGTAAATGGGGGAACAATCTTTATTCTTATAAAGTAAGAGTGTTTAGTAATCTAGTTCTTGAATATTTCATGTTTATGCTTTCATTTTCCATTTATATCAACCATGTTGGAGGCTTAGACTCCCCTTGTAGTTGATGTCTTTCATTTACTTATGCTAAGTCTTTACATTCATGTTGTGACAACCATGATGGAGGCTTAGACTCCCATTATAGTTGTACTTGCTCTTACTTACAAAATATCAAGAGAGGTAGTTCATCTTTTGGTTGTGGTAGAAAACCTCCAAAAGCAACTAGCTTTCTTCTACTTTTATTGTTCATGTATTTCACTTCCATTGCTTGAGTATCCTTCTTTTTTAGAAGAGTGAAACTCTTCCACTTTTCTAGAACTTTACCAAAGCTGTGAAGGGTAGAAAGTGATTCACTTATTCTTCATTGAAGAAAAGCTCCTTGTTTAGTTTTCATTACTTAGTAGCGTCTTTACTTAGAGGATGAGTAACACTCACTTTTCTAGCTTTGCCAAGGCCATGAAAAGTGAGTAGTTCCTCATTCACTCTTTAGTAAGAGGTGATGAATATGTAAAGATTATCCGAAAGTTATATTTGTGCAACTTCTTCATGCTTTAATGCTTTATAATCCACCTGTTCATCGGACAATTGAATGCACCTAGTAAAGTTGAGGTACTTTGTATAACCAAGGCTCCATCTATGATACGGATGACTCCTGCATAGAAAGATCCGATGGTTCAATGCAAGTACCCCGACTAGCTCTTCATGAAAACCTTCCAATCCCCACTATCATTGCACTTTATTCAAATAATGGATCATTAATGCCATGGTTGGATGCCTTGTAGAGACACTTGTTTGTTTGTAGACGAGTTAAGTCTCGGCACAGACAATTCTTATAAACTTCTAGAAAGGCATCGGAACCATGTGCTTAATGCTCGTAATTCATCTTTATCTTTCGATTAACTTGTTGTTGACACGGGTGTTAATTGAGTTATAAAGCACAAACATAACAAAATGGATATTCTATTACATGTCCTGATCCTCGAGCTAAAGAGTTGTTGTTCCATTTTGAGAATCTTATATTTTTTCTAGAAAACTCTTGAAAAGAATCTTCTATTCTAATCAAGAAAACCCCACCACTCCAAACACGCCAAATTTCCAAAAGTTACTTGGTCTCTATTACTGCTTACTTCAAAACACCAATTATAGCTCCCTATGGATTCGACTCCGGACTTCACTGAATTATTACTATAGTTTGACTGCCTGCACTTGGGTGTACATATTTCAGATCAAGTCAGTGGTGGTAGTGGTGATGATAAGACGATTCCAAAAATCCTTTTTTTTTTTTAAGTACTTTTGAGAAGTTATAAGTATTAAAAACACTTTTGAAAAATCACCCCAAACACACCTTAAGGGGCTATTTTCCCTATTAAACTTAGGATGTTAATATTGGCTATCGGATTAACTTAAAATTAAAATTTAAAGATACCTCAATCGCGAAAAATAAAAGTTATTTTGTTTATATTTTGAGATTTGAATTCTATTGTACTTTATTATTATTATTATTATTACATATATATCATATATGTATTTGTTGCATAAAAAAAGAAAGGGTAATATTGGAATTTGAAAAAACAATGTTGACGTCACCAAATTTTAACAACATATTTGATGATTGCTAATGATACGGGTTTTTGTATTACACGCATACATACATAACTCAATGGGTATGAGTGTTATTTGTCAAAAGTGAGGGGGTCCGTTTGATTAAGTTACAAATCTCAAGGGGGACGAATATAATTTGCCCTAAAATGTACCAACACTTCTGAAAGAGTAATGTTATGTGCATCAAATTTATGTACCAAATCATGTGAGTTGTTGAATTTGTGAATCCCAATAAGACATGCAATATATTCAATGCATGTGATATTGTCATATCATTTGGTGCACAAATTCAATACACATTGCATTACTCATCCTGAAATAGATAAAGAAAAGATTCAATGACTTGAGGATTAAATTACAATTTACGGCTATTAATTAGATTGTGGTCAATATTGGCCTTGTACTTTTAGGGAATCCAGCGTTATTAGCAGAAAATCAAGGAGGAATCACCACAGAATTTGAAATGTACATCTGGTGAATAATTGACTGACAGCCCATGGCCTCTAATTATGGAAAATTTGTCATGACCATGTGAATCTAAACATCCAGAATGTCCACATTCTTATTTGGTTTTCTTATTTAACAGCTTTGCAGAGAGACTCAGCATAGCGGTATTCCTTCAAGTTTCAACAATTGCCTGATACTCTCAGGAAGAGAGGGAAGAAAAAGGGTATTCAAAATTCTGCTCATTTTTTCTTTTTACTATTATCATGTCAATAGTTATAATTGAAATATCTTTCATTTAATTTTTCCTGGTTTACTTTTATGCCTTCGTGCTTATTCTTTCATTAATTGCGAATTTTATTTTGATTAATATTTTTTAAGTTAGTTGGTAAGAATTGAATTCTATCCCATGTCTGCACCACTATACTAGGACAGCGTTGCATTTCATTTTTATTGCTTGACACTAATGTTTGCTAGTACAATTTGAAGCATCTAAAGTCTGTGGCATTTAATGGTTTTTGTTTTCTGTTGATAGTTTTTCTTCTGTCCAATCATCTGCTCGACATAGTCAAGAAGAAGAGTAATGCTACATAAACCTTATTTAGTGATCTTATTCATTAGATTGGTGGTGGACCTTATTATTAGTTGGGATTTACTATTAATTCAAGGGTTATGATTTATTATGCCACCAAATAACGTCACTAAATTAAGTATAAGTAATATCCAGAAAGAAAGAACATAAAAGAAGGGAAAGAAAAATGAAAAAGAAAATCTAACTCCTTATGCATTCTAATGTTTTATACCCGGCTCAATAAAGGGTTGTCCCAACTATAGGTATTCAGTTTATATATACCTCTAGTTTTTTGTAGTTTTGGACGATATTGCATGATGTAAATGTCATTTTCCATTTCTGATTTTCGTTCTTGTTTCCTTTCTTTCCATTTTGTATGTTACGATTGACATAGGCGTACAAATTTATTGTACCTTGCAGGTGTATCAGGAAATATTGGTTGAAATTTAAGAGGTTATAATGGCATTTACCCCCAAACAGATGGCTGTGACAGTGGCCCTCCTTGGCATCGTGTCATTTATATGTGGAATTTATGCTGAAATTAAGAAGGTATACCTATTGTATGCTAATAATGATGAACGCATTACTCCATATGCTTCCTAAAAAGATTTAGTTTCCACTCGCAACTAAATTCACTTATTTGAGATGAAAAACTTGGTTTGCAGAGATTGGAGCTCGGTTGGTCTCATTGGATGATTATAATTTACCATAGATTCAATAATGTCATGACCATCAATGAAAAGATAGATGGATGACTCTGCGTTAAAATATGATGGAATCTTAAATATAACAAGTGTCATACATGAACTTAAATGGAACATACATACATTTGAGTTAAGGTATCCTTTTGTGTGTTCCCTGATCAGATGTCATATGCTTCTATGACGACAATGGTCTTGAGATATTTGATCGAAGACTAGAAGTACATATTACTTGGAAGTTATGATTTTTGTATTAGTTCTGACCTATTTT